GAGAGAAGATCCATTCTACTGTTCTTTAGACGTTTCATATTTAATTTTCAAATTTAATAAATCATCATTAACAATTTTTAAAAACTCTTCCTAAACTTCCTTACACGTTAAAAATTTAGTTTTTCTAAATTTATATGATCAATCGCAATTACAATTTAAAATTGATATAAAAATACTAAAATAAACCTACATTTTGTTTCCAAATCTTTCATCTTACCTAATTGCATTTCGCCAAATTTTTTCTCTTTCTTCTCATTTGAATAAATTGAAACTAAGATTAACTAAAATCTCCTTTCCATCTAGAGGATTGAGTTGATTGCAGTTTCTCTTTTTTTAGATTGTTCATTTAATCATAGACAAAAAAATCTACAAAAGAACTTTCTTTTTAAAGAGATGGTAAAATTTCCTTTTCTTAGCCGGAATCAATTTTTCAAGAATTGGGGTCTTCACATGTTTAGAACAAGAAAAATAAGCCTGATGAATAGTCTAGGTATAAGTTTTATTTTCTTCCTTTTCAATGATAAATTGGATTTTCCCATGTCAATAATATTTCGGGACCTTTTAAATTTATTTTATTGTTTGTATTACTAGACAGTTCGCATGATTCAAATTAAAACTGAACGGACTGACTACTGTTTTTCTTATTTTGATTTAAAATTAGGTTGACATGGAATTAATGGTTTTGGCTTATATGTTAGGAAATTAAAATTCGATGTTTATAAATAGAGTACATGATAAAAGAAAAAGCTTGAGAATTCTTTTTTTTTAGCTCACTATTCTATTTCTCCTTTTTTTTCAAAAATTTCTAAATTATTTCTTTCTGACTTTGTTTGAAAATTTAATATGGTGGTTACTTTGTTAAAAACATTTTTGTGTTCTTTTATTGCTTGTGTTGTTTTGTTTTTACTTAGTTTTATTTAGTTCAATTTTCCATATATCATTTTGTATTTTGCCTAATTTTAGTTTTGTTTTAAATTTACCTTTTGCATGAGATTGGCAAGTGTGTGCAATAAAAGATAATCTAAATTTGTTTTATTCCAATAATCGAATTAAATATTAAATATTTTATATGTTTTTCTATTTACATAACTCTTCAATGTTTGAAAATCTGTATATAATATTATAAAAAAAAAAAACAGAATCAAGTACTTAATATCATTCTATTAAGTTCTACATTTATTTCTAATAATATCTTTCCAGTCGCTTCTTCCTAGAAAAATGAAGTTTTGCATTCTACCAGTACAACAATCTTACATTTTGCACTTGAAATTTAAAACCTAAATATTATACAGACGTGCGAAGTGTAGGTTATCGCCTAATATATTTATAAAGGAGAATTATGGAGATTTCATATTTGAATCCGATGTTGGCCATCTATTTGGGAGTGTGACTCTTCTAAAATTTGAGTATTTCGGTATTAACTTAGCCCAGCAAAAAAATTAAGATTTTGTAAGAGAACAATACTATTAAACACAATGGAGCTCTTGATGTCTCTTATGCTTTTATGAATTTTAAACATAATACTATCTTCTATTCCATAATATGTTACATTTGAGAAAATAGTTTGTTTCAAAATAATTCTTACATTTTGTCATTTCGAGGAATAATAAATCTTTTTTCAAATGTTTACCCTTTTGTAACCAATAATTATTACTTCAATTTAATGATTTTCTTAAAGATTAACATTAAATTAAGGGTAAATAGCCAATTTACCTCATAATTTATTGTCTTAAGACCACAATTTAATGGTTTCTGCTTAAGAGACGTGAAAATTCCAAATGTGACAAATATTATAAAAACAGAGTAATAAAATAATGGGCGAATTGAATAGTTCAATAATTATTTAAACATTTTTTTAAAATTACAACAATAATCGCATCCTAAATATTCATTCGATGATATTACTAACAGAAGCCTTCATAGATATCCCGAAGAAACTTTGTATTTCATGATAATTGAAATTAGTTCATAATTTAATTTGGAAGATCAAGTAAACTACATAGCTTTAACCAATCGTAGGAAAATTTGAAACGACCAACCACATTCATTCGATAAAAACTCGAACTTTTAAATGCAACTCAAGTCTGATGTCCACAGGAGACATCTTCATTCACACAATAGCTTTGCACATTTCAATTCTCTTTCTAAATGAGAGCAGCAGCAGCTTTTCCATCTGGCATTTTGTATAAGTGAGAAGTTTACAATTAAACACATATAGTTAATTATGATACGAGATGAATATATTTAATCAAGTGCAGTCACAGTTTTGGCGCGTAATTATATATAGATTTAAAGCGAATAAAGCTTCAATTTACCGCTTCAATTAAAAAGCAATATTTATTTTTTAAAAATATCAATTTTTTTTAATATCCATTGAATTTGAATGAGATCGAACAAAAAGTCCTACAGTTTTCATAAAAAATAATTTAAAATATTTCCAACAAATAAAAATTATTTAAAAATTTTTAAACTAGAAAAAAAATTATTTAAAACATAATAATATTATATAAAAATATATATTTTTAATCATCTAATTTAAAAAATAATTAAACAAAAAATTTGATTATATAAATATTTTTTATTTAATTATTTCTTAATTCTATTTTTACCTAAAA